CCTGCCCTCCATCCATCTTCTGCAACACTCCGGTACCGACGAGGAGCCGCAGAGACCTCCTACCGGATCCCGTGCACTAAGCTGGTACCGGGGAACAACGACAGGGGGTCAGAGGCACCGCAGGCAGGGAGGCGATGACTCCCCTCACCCCAGGCTGCTCCTTCTTAGGGCAGGCTTCACCCTCCACCCCACACCGGTCCTTGCCCCCAGCTTCCCCTTTTCACCCCCCATCTCCGGTTTTGCCCTTTTCCAGTCCCCTGCTAGGACCCGGCCATGGTCGCGTGGAAGAAGAGAGCTGACGCTTACTGCAGTTTTGTCTCCAGCAGGTTCAGCTTCTGCTGGTCGACGTAGCGAGAGAAGAGGGAGACCAGGTTCGAGGGGGTGGACACCGGCTTGGCCAAGGCTGCCTGAGGGATTCGCAGGAGCTCCCGGGTTGCCATAAGCATCAGCTCCGTCCTGCCGGAGAGGGACACAGGAGAAAAGGAGGAATAAGAACCATTGGGTGCTTAGGGCTATGCACGCCTCACGGTGTTTTGGCACTGGAACTAAGCAGGAGGCAGCGCTGTGTCCTCGGACACCGGCCTCCCCCATGGGGAAGGGTCCTGCCTCCACTCGACAGCCTCTCTGAGTCCCCTGCGCTGAGATGCCCCGGCTGCTCTGCGGGGCCCGGCGTCCCACCGAGGGCGGCCTTTGCCCCTGAGGACCTCATAATGCAGCGACGTCTGCCACACAGGAGCTCGCCGGGGACACTCGAGCCCCTGGGGGGAACAGCAGTAACGCCGCATCACACACCTAGTGCTGCGGGCTAAGTGAGACTCGGCAACCTTGCATCTGCCCAGGCTAAAAGCGCTACGGCCGCTCAGCTGAGGTGACAGCTTCCCTGCACCTCTGAGGGACTGGTCTCTGCACGTCCCAAGCCTTATCTACCACGTTCTCCCTCTGCCTCGGGCCTGCCTTTCTCTCTTTCCTTCAGCACCGTGGCTGTTTCCAGTGCTGCTGCCGACAGATCGCAATTAAAACTCCTTCTTCATCAACTCTACCTCCGAGTCCTTCGGACCCTGCACGGCACAGTGTCCGACCCCGACGGCATCACCGCCTTCCCCCCCAGCCCGAGGTGCAGCCGAGGACGGGCACTCACCACTGGTTGTCCTGCATTAGCTCCGCATTCGCGTCCGAGCTCTGCAATTCCTCTCCGCGGCTCAAGACCAAGTACAGCAGGGACAGACCGAACTGCGGGGAAGAGAGGGAGGGTGTCAGGGAGGGCACTGGGAGCCTGCCAGGGAGGAGATGTCCTTCTGGTGCTGTCACCAGCCATCACTGGCCTCCCGAGGGCCGTAGTGCCTCGCGAGGAAATCCCTGGGGCAGTGGACAGGCCGGGCAGGGTGAGCTTCCCTCCCGCCGCTCCTCCCCTCCTAGCATTTTTTGGGTGGGTCTGAGAACGATCTCCACCTCCCAGTCCTCCCGGGGATGATGGCACAAGCAGGAGGATCCCCGAGTCCCCTGAGGAGGAGGAGGAGGAGGAAGAGAAGGAGGATGCTGTTTATGGGCCTGAGTCACAACAGGCATTGGGGATGGCTGCGTGAGTGACAAACCACTCCCTGCCCAGCTTGGGGGGACATCTTCACGAACCCACGGCAGAGGAGCAGCCCTCCCACCCTGGATTTCAGAGCAGGAGTCTGCAGCCCAGCAGGACAGACAAGGGAACCGGCTGTCACACTGCAGCGGAATCCCAGGCCAGCTCAGACAGCTAATTAATCTGCCAGACACCCTCGTTAATCAGCAAGGGAAAGGGAGAGTGCCAGGGGCTGGCAGCCTGTGGCTCCCTTCCTGGCACCACAGCTGCATCCAAGTTTTGCCATCCAGTGCCAGGAGGTTGGAAACTCAGTTTCCCAGCTATGAGGAGGTGGGGAGGGAGGGATGAGCTGCCCCGGGGAGTAGAGCGAGGGAGAGGGGAGCACCTTGTTTTGGAGCACAGCAGTGAGGTGCAGGTTGGTGGGCGCTGGCGCGGTCGCGCTCTGAGGTAGGTTCGTTAGCTGCTGCACAAGGCTGGTGACCGTCCCCAAGGGAAGGTGGTAGAGAACGTGCGAGAAGGGCCTCAACAGGCAGGGCAGCACCTGCGGAGACAGAAGCGGAGGAGCTGGGAGCTGCAGCAGCAGGAAAATCTTCCCCGGGGGAAAGCTGGCAGCCCTGGGGCCTCACGGACCCTGACAAGACCCTGCCTCATGGGTACACACACACTGGCAGCATCCTCTGCTTTCAGCAGCCCTCACATGCTCAGGGTGGGCCATCCTAACAGCATCCCCCCATATCCCCACGACGGCACAGGCCTGCTTTAGATTCAGGCAAGTCTTTTTCACTCTTGTATCATCCTTTCTCAAAACAAACTTGGATTTCTTTCACAGATGCCTGTATTTTTGTTCTCTGTATAAAAAAGATTGCAGAGGACAGCTGAGAGCGTGTCCCTTGGAAGATGTTGGCCTCTGCTCTCTGGAAGATGGAGTCTCCTGTTGTCGCCCGATGAATCAGAGACGCAGCCCTTTAGACAAGTGCTCAGCCAAGAGCCAGGCTCATTAAACAAAAGCACCATTTATCAGAAATCTTCCCTGCTTCCTTCCCAGCAAAGCTGGGCTGTGCTGTGTCGGCCTTCAGGCACGGGAGATGGGCCCTGCCAGGAACTCACAGCTCCTGCAGCCTCCCCAGGCCTCTGGCAGTCTCGCAGGAGAGGCAGAAACAACCGTCCTTAAAACACACGATGCCGTTTGCCGTGTTCCGTCATGGAGGAGAGGAGATCTGGCTCCAGACCCTGCACCGAAACCCACCTGACAGCGAGTGAGGGGAACCCTCCCAGCCCCTGGAATCTCACCTCATCCTGAGCATCCTTCTTGATGAGGAAGGGCAGGTTCCTGGCCGTCGCCATGAGTACGTCAGCCGCTTGTTCGGGTGACAAGAAGGGGAGGATCCGGGCCACGAGGCGCTTCCCTTTCCGGATACACATGATCTGCATGAAGTGGTCGTCACTCGGCCTGCCCAGGAGAGGAGAAAGGTGCCGACCCTCAGCTAGGAGCATCCCAGGGAACGTGGAGTGTTCCCGTGGGTACCCCCACAGCCAGCCCCGCACCGGCACCAGGCAAAAAACACACCTCCCTCCAAAAACACCGCTGGGGAGGGAAAAACAACGCAGGAACGACACCTCTAACCCCAACCTCTGCTTCTCTGACAGGCTAGGCAGGAGGACAAGGCCCGGTTCCCCACGGGGCAGCAGAGAAGGGAGCCATCGAGACCCTGTGTCTTTCCTTGCCCATCTGCGCTGCAGAGGCTACAGGTCAGGCAAGAGGGGACAGCCTTAAAAAAAAAGGAACCCAGAGATGTGCCAGGGTGCAGAGTTTGGGGCGGAGAGACACCCAACGAGCATGCAGACAGGCATTATTCGCAGCAGCCGAACTGCAGGGATGGAAGTTGTTACAGGATCATAACCACAGCGAACGATTGCATGGGGAAAATGGCAAAAAAAGGAGAGGGGGAAGAAAAAAAAAAAAAAAAAAGGTTATTTCAGCCAAACAGGTCCCTGGAAAATCAGTTTCAGCAGCTGCAAGTGCCCACAGACTGTCCAAGCTCCTAACAGCGACTGAGTTGCAGACACCACCTCTGCTCACCTCTCCTGCCCGGGTGCCTTCCCCCTCAGATTGTCATACATATCGCAGATCTTCTGCTTCCTCTCGCCCATCAGGGCCGGCCGCTCACCTTCCAGGCTCAGGAGGTAGCGTCTCTCATAGTCCTCCACGTCCAGGAGGAGACTGTACGTCTGCGGGAGAGATGGTGATCACAGCAGGGCACAGGGATCTGCTACTCTGAGTCAGTAACAGACCCCGCAAAGCCCATCCAGGCTGTTTTGGGACAGGGTGAAGGCACGGCTGGTACCCGGCTCCAGCCTTTCTGCTCCAGGGCCACCCCCTCTCCTGCAAGCAGGACCTCAGCTACTGTTGAGTGCTGGCTTGTCCCCAGCTGGATGTCCAGAGGAGTTCATCGGTACTGCACCGTGGTCCCTCTGGTCCTTCCTTCGCCCCAGCCCACCTTGTGCCCCACCCCAGATCTCGGAGGGTCGCGGCGGTCCCCCTCGAACTCACCTTCTCGATCGTCACCAGGGTCTACCACACTTGACCT